GCGTCGCTCTGCCTGTGGACGGAGGATTTCTGGCATGTTGACCAACGTTGGACCTGATGTGTCTGTCATCCTTGTTTCGGTAAAAACGTCTCTAAAAAACAACAGCAAAAACCAGCTGCGCTAACAAACAGATGCCTTTGTCTATGTGTAGATTAGCCGAAGACTATTTTTGTTCTTTGCGTTGCGCTAACAAAGGAATTTGTGGGTGGATGTACACTGTAGATAGTGACAGAGTAGGAAACATCTGTTCCTGTGACAACAGCTTTAGACTTAATTCTGGTGTCTCTGTGTCAGAACAAGACTCAGCTGAAATTTACATACAGTTCTGCATGTAGTTTGACTATACAGTACATGAGGGGAGTTCCACTGTTTCACAAAGGTTCACAACTTAAACTTCAACTTGTTCAGATCATAAATGTTATTAAGAGTTGTTAGTTTCTGGTATTAAAAAAGAAATAAATGATAACATGACCTGAGGCTCCGGTGCTTTACATAGACATTTTTATTTAGTATACAAAAAATTGAAATATTTCACCACACAAACGTGAAGTCATAAAAAATAAGACAAACAGTTAAAACAAGTGTACAAGTCGTCTTACATTACATACGTACATGGCCGATGCATTTCATTGCACAACCTCTCTCTAAGAATTACAGCGGGTCAAATAACCAGAGAACTTCCATGCAATAGTTATCTTTTTGACTTATTTTCTACTCTTTTGTTTTTTTATTTTGCTGCACTTCTCAGCTACATGTCAACACCTCAGCTAGGCAGGACCACAGGACATGATTCAACCACACACTTTGCTAGGCCAACCAAAGACAGCGTCAAAGAACGGCCCACGGTGCTGCGTGTCACCACCTGAGGGCGACAGTCACACCGCGGGCCTGCAACCATACAGAAATGCATGTCATAAAGGCGCAATCTGTGCTGTTAGCCCTCACCGCGATCTGCGCCTTTATGGTTACACTGTTAGCAACACTTCTAAACTTCAACATGAGCAACCTTTAGGTTGAACTTTAAGAGCTAAATATTTAGGTACATGTAGATAGATATTCATAACGCATTCTTTTTTTTCCTCTAAGGATTATTCTGTACATCACAAGATGTCGTTGATACCCTTTGCGATTTTTTTTTCACTTCTTTATGTCCACAGAGTGCTGAAAAGTATTGTGTTTTTCCTACAATACAATATGAAATAGTACCAAAAAACTGGACACTAAAAAGTTGGCTGAAAACAATACTGTCTTTTATGAACTATCCCAAACTGACTAACAACACTGGTCTCACTGATACCAACAGGTGCTTGTCCACACATATACACTCTCTCTCTCTCTCTCTCTCTCTCTTACACACACATACACACACATACACACACAGGAGAGGAATGAGGTGAAGATCTAAATGGGATAAATTAAGACGGAATATTTTAAGACCCATGCAAGCTCTTCCACCCACCCAGGCAGAACTCAGGCAGCAAGGTTGCACAGCCCCCACGTTTGGCATGCTATTCTGTCACATGTTCACAGTTGGATGAAGTTACCCCAAGACGCCGACTTAGATCAGATTCATGTCCAAAGCAGAAAAACAACTGAGTTGAGTTTTAAATTTAAACAATAAAATGTTACAAAATATTGGTTATTAACAACTAAAACAGCCACGTGCATGCTCTCCATCAAAACAAACCAGTGTTAACCCAGTAATGATGCAAAGACATTCTTGTTAAGTAAAGAGTGTAAAAAGAAAAAGACGTGTTCTCCTGACCTAGAGATTCCTCTGTGAAGGTTCTCTGTTGTTTTCGCTGTCAGGAGTTTAGTTGATGAACGGACTTGTCCTGTGTTTCTGAAGATGTTTGTCCTCTGACTGTGCACTGTGCCAAAATACAGGTGGCCATGTACAAAATACCCTCTTCTTACTACCTTTTTTATTAAGTATTTAAAGCAAATGTAAAATTCTATACAACACTGAACTGTGGAATATGTAAAAGGTTGTTGTTGTATTTGACAGCAGCATGCTGCTGGACCTGCTCTGCCGGGACAGGCGGTCTGACCTGTGACAGGCCCAAAACAGGTTGAATGTTGTAGCGAATGACTGATTTGCTGTATTGGCTTTTAAATGCTTGAAAATATTAATGTGGTATATGTATATACAGCCGCCTAAAACTTTTGCACAGTACTGACCATACTGGTCTTTCACTTGGACCAGTGCAGTGGTCTAATCAGATGGACCAGATGAGTTTGAGATTAAGCTCAGCTCAAACATCTTCAAGAAACTGGAGGAACCTCCATTTTCCCACTTGTGATGAACTGAAAAATGTGGCCAGTAGTATTTTATATCTTGATACTGATCATGGAAGAGAAGCTAAGGGTAACTTCTAGAGACTGTTTCTATTCTTCACATTCTCTCTATCGTCACGGCACAAATTCAAGCTAGTAGGGCTGAGAAAGGCAAGATGTTCCGGTGTGAAGACCAGAAATAGAAACCTCTCATCAGCCTCATGGCAACGTGATGTGGTTCTATGTCTATAAAGTAGGCGGACTGTCAACGTCTTACTGAACCCACGCACTATTTAGTAATGGTACAAAAAAGGTGTTTAAGTGTTGGTCGTGTTTTCCAATATCGCCTTTGAAAAAACATCATTAGCAAGAATTCCATCCCAGCAGCACTCCCTCTCCCTCTCCCTCTCCCCCTCTCTCTCTCTCTCTCTCACACTAATTTTCCCTCTCATCCCCTCAGAGAAGTAGTAGTTGTTGTCATGGTGATGTGGTGTTGTGTTGTGTTGTGTTGCGTTGTGTTGTTGGAGCAGTGGCTCCTCCTCAGAACATGGTGCACCTCTTGCCCCTCTTCTTCACGGGTGGGGGGCAGAGCACGGCCCTGATGGCCTCGTCGAATACTGTCTTGAGGCCTCGCTGGGTCAGAGCGGAGCACTCCAGGTACTTCACTGCCCCTGAGGAGAGGAAGAGGGGCATTGTGGGAAATAAAAGTTGACAGCTGTGCTTATGTAGATGTGTCGATAGCATTTTTTGAGTTTTTTTCTAGCCCATTTTGTAGCATTGTAGATCAGTGTTTTCACAATTTGACCGTTTGGCTAGGTTCAATCAATTCCTTTGGCTTTTAGTGCTGAGTTTTTGTGCAGCCTTACCGATCTCTCGTGCCATGGCCAGGCCCTGCGGGTAGGTGATGGGAGAAAGCTTCTTGTCTCGCAGCCTCTCAATGGTGTCCTTGTCATCTCGCAAATCCAGCTTAGTCCCCACCAGGATGATGGGTGTGTTGGGGCAATGGTGTCTCACTTCAGGGTACCACTGAGGCACCAGACACATACACACACACACACACACATACATGTGCGTCCATGTGCATAAAACAAAGGACAAAGTCATGAGAGAGGAGAAAGAGAACAGTTAGCTGGACGCAGAGGGACAGCGGTGACCGCCTTTCCACATCGACATTGAACAGATACTGAACTGAAGAGAAATGTTTTTTCATAGACTACCCTGAAAGGAAACACGGTTTTATGAAGCTAACACCCCCAGAGGCTGGAACAACCTCCAGTCACAGCACATCACATAACGATAGACTCCTGAGAGAAGAACAGAGTGACTCTGCAGAGGGAGCGCGGGAGAAAAAGGTGTGATTTCATCTGAGAGCGTCTCGTGATGCTCAGCAGGTTAAACCACAGCTGGACCGGGTCACTACCCCTGCAGAGTGTTTGGACCAGTTCAGACCTGGTCTTACAACATGTCTCTCTTTGCATCTGGACAGTTCTAAGACGAGGTCTGAACAGAAGGGGGCGATATTTGGATTAAACCAGGTGGAGCAAAAGATGTGCCTCCGTGTGGTCAGACTCGGCATGGAGGAGAGTGGCAGGTACAGGGTGAGGAGGGGGATGTTTGGCCAGTCAGCGTACTGACCTTAGCACGGACGTTCTCAAAGGAGGCCGGACTGACCAGGGAGAAGCATATCAAGAACACATCCTGGGAGAGAATCAGAAACACGGCTAGTTGAGAGCGAGGTCTAAGTGTGTGTGTTTTTGTGTCTGTGTGTGTGTATGCATGTGCCTGTGTGTGTGTGTGTGTGAGAGAGAGAGAGCGAGAGGGGAGAGAGCATGAATTGAGTACCGTCTGTGGGTAAGACAGTGGTCTGAGCCTGTCGTAGTCCTCCTGTCCTGCTGTATCCCAGAGGCCCAGATTCACTGGTTTCCCATCAACCATCACATTAGCAGAGTAGTTGTCAAAGCTGTGGGGAGGTTATGAAATTATGTGAAACACACACCTCGTCTTGGGCAAATATAAAGCAACCACAGAGGCTGTGTAGGATCATCCAACACAGAAGTCAACAAGTCAACCTAATCTGAACCAGGCTTGAAGTTGTCCAGTCTAGTTGTTGTTGTTGTTGTTGTTGTTGTTGTTGTTGTTGTTGTTGTTGTTGTCGTTGTTGTTGTTGTAGGGTCATGTGACTCCTGACATGATCACAGGCTCACACTGGAGCCCTTTACGTCACAGGTCAGCTGATTAAAACCAATAACCCTCTATGACAAACTCACAAGGATGGACATGGTCTGGGTTTTCCCAGACATATAATCTATAAACTCAAAATCAAAACCTGGAGTGAACTTACAACTCACTCTGTATTAGTCCACTTAGTGCAGTTTTGTTTATGCCACCATCAAAGCAACATTTGGAAAACTCTTAACAAAATTAATATTTCTTAAACATCTACATTCCAAAAGTCACTCAAAAAAGATTTGATATCATCGTGTGTGTGTGTGTGTGTGTGTGTGCGTGCGTGTGTGTGCGTGCGTTCCACTCACACAGTGGGGATGTATTCACCAGGGAAGGCATTGGTGGTGTAGCTGATCAGCAGACAGGTCTTACCCACAGCACTGAGGAAGAGGAAAAGAAAACACACACCAGTGTAAAAATGGACTGTGTTGATGCCTGTATGCTCCACTGTACACTGCATGTACATGTGAAAGGGGTTGATTACTCTGTACCCAGTACCACACAGACACTGGCCTATATTCACTGAGCCTGAGGGTCTGGGTTGTTTCCTATGAATTGGAAACTGAATGAATGCCAATAGGGACGTGGTGAAAATGACTGAACTCACTGCTTTACTTCATCTGGTTATCTGTATGTTTTTTAAGGGGCTTTCCATTGAATTTACTTTATAAGTGGTATGTGTTATTAGCCAGAAAATCTCTTCACTCCCTAATCTCTTTGGGTCGTCCTTGGTCTGAAAGTCAGTGAAGCCCTCTGATCTAGTCCAGTCTGACTGAGGATTTAGTGGATAAATGGATAGCTCAAGTGTTAGATACATTAGTCAGATCCTGTGCTAGGTTTTGCCAGGATCAGAGGTGTACAGCAACACAGAGTAGTTGGCGCTTGGTGCTGTAGTAACAAAGGAAGGTGGTGTGTCACACTTAACTTCTCCACCAGGACTTTCAGTGTGCATATATGGTACCCGCTGCAGAAAACATGCTCTGTGTTGCCAATTATAAAGTTGAAAAACTTGATATGAAAATAATGGCTTATGTGCAGCTGACTTCCTCTTTGTGGTGAGGGAATTACATGCAGCTGAAGCCAAAAGTACAAATAAAATCAAATTTAAAATCAAACTGATAGCTGATATCTATATAACAGTCAATGTCAGTATTATATTAGAGACACCAGCCTATTGTGATTTAAAAATAATAAAAAATATATCAAGGATGGAGGAACATTCTGCCTGGTTCCTCTGTAAGCAGGATAATTGTCTTGAATGAAATTACCTCGCCGTTTGTGCTTTGTTTTAAATGTTAATTTAAAACATCCTGACTAGTCAGGGTTTTTAATGGGACTTTTGGGCTGTGCACCAACTCTTCTGAAAGTAGGGTTCATCATGTTGACTTTTTTTAGGAGAAAATATTATCTCAGGCCTTCTCTTTAGTCTTGGCAATAAAACCTCCCCTTATTTTTCAATGACATAATGGCCTTAAAGGGACAGTCCGGAGAATGCCGCCACAGATGTCTGTTGCCTGGATGTGGACGTGTAGTGTGTGGGTGCAGTGAGAACAGGCAGACTGTGGGCAGAAGTGGGGCAGCAGCGAGGGCCTGTTTGTCACTGACAGGGCCACAAATTCCTTAGCGTGCATCAGCACTTCAGCTGCTGCTCCTACTGCTGCTGCCTCCAGTGGCCTGCAAACAAGGCGAGCTAGTCCTGCATAGCATCCAGGCGTGCACCGCTCCCACCTACCAATGCAATTTACACAAGGAGAGAACGTTAGCGCAGCGAATCTGTCGAAGTAAAGGGAGTGGAGCACAGAAAAGCCGCCCATTCGTGCGCCCCACATAGCATCCTCCCTTCATCCATCCATCCTTCCATCCATCCATCCGCCCGTGGGTCTATCACTGAATCACACATGACAAACGCTACTACGGTGTGTCTGTGTGTGTGTGTCTGTGTGTGTGTATTCATCAGCGTTTAAGTGTGTTGCAATCTTACCCGTCGCCCACCACCACACACTTGATCGCCTGCATTTGTGCTGGAGCTGAAGGCTTTGGCGGAGCCGCCTATGGAGCTTGGTTAGATCCGACTGTCTCGGATGAGAGCAGCGACGGGCCAGTTCGCACAGCGATGGAGCCGCAGTGAAAGGAGACGTTGACGAGCGGCAGCCGATTCTGTCCGGAAAGAGCCGAATGCGTTTAAAGGGACAGGAGGAGAAACGGACAATGAAATGTTTCCTGCCGCTTACTTTCGTCTTCGTTTTAACATTGGTTGCAGAAAAAACAATAATAAAATGAATCACTAGATTATTGAATGCCCCATTTATACTTTAAGTTCTGTGTCTTGAAGCTATTGATTGTTTTATTGTATCTGTTGTACATTGTAACATCAGTAGCTTTATGTCTTGATTCTAAACATAACCCATTAATAACGCCCTCTTCCTTTATGCTACAGTGGAGCAAACCAAGCTATGACTGGACGGACACTATCTTGTACTACAAAGATCTTTGACCACAGACTCGAGACCCAGTGACCTCATACATCCCCACCCTACAAATGCACTCACTCAATACTGTAATGTCACCTGTTTGTAGAAAATCAGAGCAAATCGTTCAATCATTCCTGAAAATTCAATGCTTCTCAAATAAATCACCAACTCATCTCTCCTTTTATCACATTTATTGATAAAAACACATTCGATCAAAAATAGGCACATCAAATATCAATAACATGCCTACAATGTGTACAAAACAAAATATATACAAAATATGATTCTCGGTATAATAAAAATAGCACCTGTACAAAGATCAGCTCACACTTGTGTTTTTATTTTATTACAAAGAAAGTAGAAATGTTGTACATGAAATCAGAATTTAAAAAAAAGTTGAATTACTAATTAACAATTAACCATAGGAGTAAAATTTGACTAGCAGCTTAACACTGATGTTCAAAGTGACCAGCACCATATTAGCATGTTTTGTAGCATAAGCACATCTGTTAGTTGGTGAAGTCAGTTCCTGGACCTGAGCATAGCTTCGGCTAACACCTAGTGGTGAATGTAAGACATGTTCCGGGTCATTTCTTTGGGCTGCCGTAGTGTCCTAGAGGTGAACCTTGGACGTATGTGAGGATGGCACTCTGCAGGACACTGGCTCTGTTGGCCTCATCCTCCCTCATCCTCTGGATCTCTGCATCCTTTAAACGCAGCTTCTCCAGCATGGAGGACATCTGACTTTCTTTGTCCAGCAGCGCCTCTCTGTGGTTGCTGCTCAGTACTGAAAGATCCAGAACCACAGTTCAGTTGGTGACTGTTGGTAAATTCAATGTTTTTTTTCTGTAGGACACAAATAAAGCAAACCTTTACCTTTGATCTCCCTCTCCAGAGCATTGATCTTCTCTCTGAGTCCTTCCTGTGCTGTCCTCTCTACCTGTAGATGTCCAATCTGCTCCTGCAGCTCCACCCTCACACGGCTCACCTCCGCCACCTTCTCCTGATCCTTACCTGACAGCTCCTGCAACCAAACCCACCCCAGCACACGTTGCATAAAGTATATATATCAAATGAGTGTATGTTGTGCTTGGACGTGTCTCGTCCAGACCTGCTGCAGCTCCTCTATCCTGCGCCTCAGTCCGTCCATCTCTATATTCTGATGGCTGTTCTTGGCCTGCAGCTCAGAGATGGTCTGCTTTTGCTGGGTGCAGTGCAGCTGGGCCTCCTGCAAGGAGGAACGCAGGGAGCGCAGCTTCTCCTCCAAAACTAACACGTGCTCCTGCTGCTCAGAGGAAAACAAGGAATACAAGCTGTTGGTCTGACAGTGGAGGCCCAAAGTTTAATCATCTGGAAACTATGAAAACACAAGCCGACTGATAACCCACCTCCTCCAAACGGACTTGTGCTCTCACTCGGCTCAGGTTCTCCTCCGCCTGCGCCCTCTCTGTTACACACACTGCTTTAGTTTTACTCAGCTCCTGCAGTAAGAAACACATAAGCGTTTTAACTCAATGGGACTTATGTTAACTGTGCTCTCTAATTTAAATCAGCGGCACAATCACATTTCTAAAAGTAAGTTGACTTCCAGAGTTGTGGATTTCACCTTTACTTTTCACTACATTTTCTCTGAATTTCTCAGAGTTACTTTTTTATAAAGTTATTAGCATGTCTGTATGAACTCTGACCTCCTCCATTTGTATCCTCTGGCCCTCCAGCTTGAAGATTCGTTCCTGCAGAGATCGCTCACTTTCTTCCACATTCCTCTTTATGTGGTCCACCTAAAAATAATGACGTGTTGACTTAGTACATAAAGGATTACAGAAAGAAGAGAGAGAGACAGCAGCAGAGAGAGAGGGGAGACACACCTCCTTCTGTCTCAGAGTGTCCATGTTTTCCAGAGATTGTTTTGATCTTCGTTTCTCAGTTTCCAAATGATCTGAGACAAAGTTAGACACAGTTATAACTGAAAGTGCTTGGAAACCAGTGTGCTCATGCGTATGTGTCTGTGTCTGTGTCTGTGTCTGTGTCTGTGTGCGTGTGTATGTTACCTTCAGCTTCCACCAGTCGTAACTTAAGCTCAGCTGTGCTGTTGGTCAGATCTTGTTTCAGCTCAAAGATCTGCTGTTGCTGAGACTTACACCTCCTCTCCATCTCCTCAACCTTCAACACACACACACACACACACACACGGATTGTGTTTTAAAGCACTGATTTTTCAAACAATCACACAAAACAACTTAGGCTTTTGTTCTTTCTTACTTTACTGCTGAGCTCCAGGTTCTCGTCAGTTAGATTTTGAATTTCTCTGACAAGTTTTCCTTCTCTCATCACACTCCCCTGCAGCACAGAAAACAGCAGAACCCTGTGAATATACATGTACTTATACACACTAGAAAACCATCCCCTGATTTTATTATTTATTATATTTTTGACCCATTACATCAAACAGTGATGACAGAAAGATGTTCGTACAAATATTGCCCTGCTGATGTGTCCCTTCCTCCTAAATCCTGTCTGTCATATCAACTGACAGTTCATTAGCATCTTACCTCCTGCTCCTTTATCCTCTCTTTCGTCTGTCTCTCACACTGTTCATCTTTTTCTGCATTGACCAAAGTTAGCAGCTCCGTCAGGTTGTGGTTCTTCTGCTCAGACAGGGCAAGAGCGGCCTCCACCATCTGCAGCCTGAACATCAGAAAGACAACACCAATAATGACAAGATTGGTGTTTTATTGACCAAAGCCACAGCTTAGTATAGAAATGTACTTTAAAAAATGTAAAACCCCAGCAGAGTAATGCTATCTGCACCACAGAAACTATTGGTGATGGTCTACTGTACCACAAATGTGAAATAAAGGAAGCTGAAAGCTTACTTAGCAGTGAGAGTGTTGACAGCCGACTTCCTCTCGTTTAGAGCGTCCTGTAGTTGAATGATCTGAATGGAAGTGGACCTAATGACACAGAGAATGATAATATTAGAAAACAAAAATATAGGTTTTTTAATGATGCTTCATCAGTATATCACAAGTGAGGGCTGAATTGAGTTGTAAAGTAATCATGGTCATCACAGGCTTCTTGGAATTTTACATTTACATACTGAATGAGGTTCTTTTTCTTATCAGTTTTAAGTGGAACATGATGTCTTCCAGCCCTTGTGCATAAGTACTATTGAACGTATCCTTCCACCTGAGATAATAGGAACTACTCAGCTTACCAAAAGGGAGTAAAGAATAAAGAAATTGACTCTTAACTTACATGAGTGTTTTTTATGATAATGGGGATAAAGTGCAACTTTTGTGAAAAAATGTCACTTTTATTTTTTAGTTTTTCTGCAAACAAACAGTACAAAAATGCCAGTTCAAGTCACCTGCTGGATCGCCCCATCTCCTCTCGCTGTTTATCTATAGTTTCCATTAGACTCAGGTACTGAAAGCAAGACAGGGAGACATCTATGACCAAGAGGTTTATTCTACATTCATAAAACATGTATAAATCTTCCATTAACGTAGTCCCTATGATGGGATTCCCTTCGTATCATGAACCTGTTAACAAACCATGTTTCCATTCAATTCACTTTGTGGGAAGTTGCATGATGAGTGACATAATAAAGTGAAATGATTTAATAGCTTTGGGTCTGTTTATCTAACAGTTTTTCTTCTTGTAACTATGCCAAAGATGAAAAGGAAATGTATAGAACTTATTTTAAATCACATTATACATGTGGTGTAATTTACCTGGTGGTTCTTCATGTCCTTCAGGGTCTGGATCTCCTTGGTAAGGACCTGAGTCTTCCTGTGGCTGTCTCTCAGAGTGGACTGTCTGTCTGAATTGCGACCTGAGGCTTGGTCTGTAAAGAGAAGAGAATAGATGTCATAAATGGAGGCAGAAAATATCAAGACAATGATTAAATCCACTGTACGAGTGGACTTGTTTTAAAGTTTCCTTTTCAATTTTTGTTGCAACTGTAGCTTTAAGTCTGAGTGAAACACTTACCAAGTGCATTGAGTAGGTCACAGGGAATGTTGTTTCCTGCCAGCTCCATCTGAACCAGCCTTTTGTTTTTCTGCAGAGCCTCCACCAGACTCCTGCCACCCAGCAGACCAATATGGTTCCACCTCAAGTCTGTGGACAGAGATTGTGAGTCAGTTTGAGAACATTTATTTATTAGAATGAACCCAAAACAGAACAGTTACCATAGCAACAAAGTCCAAAAGGACACAATTTATTCAAAAGCTGCAGTGTGGAGTTTTGTTGTTGCTGGTTCTATTTTATCCTATGCCTTTTGCCTCTTTAAACTTAATTTGGGTTTTTTTTTCTGAATTTTTATAACACTCCTGTCTGTGGCTTTTAACAAATGTGAGTGAGGGAGTGGTGTTATGTTTTATTCATCATATCCTTTTTTTTTCATTCATATACTTTATTCCTAAATCGACTGCACAGTCTGTGTTTAAACCAGTGTCATATGAGATTTATTTGCCAATCACCGAGCTTTTCCAGGGTGCAGTTGTGTTTGAGAGCCAGAGCCAGCTCCGTCGCTCCTCTGTGGTTGATCTGATTGTTCCGCAGGTCCAGCTGTGTCAGCACGCTGTTGGAGGCCAGACCATCACAGAAGAGTGAGAAAGCCTCTTCACTAATTCCCAATGCATTCCATTCCAATACCAGCCTGTGAACACATGACAGTACAGTATATGTTTACTGTAACAGCAAGAGGCATTAATTAGAAATGAAAAGCGTCATTTTCACCTGCACAAAGTCTTGTTGCGGGCCAACATCATTCCCAACACCTCAGCCCCTGCTGTTCTTAGGTTGTTTCCCTGAACACAAAATAATGAATCCAACGTAATACATATAAACAAATAAAGGTCTATAGTCTAATTTAACAGCTGGTACCTTCAGATCCAGGCTTTTCACTGTTGTGTTCTCAAATAAGCCCTTTAGAAGCACTTTGGTACCTGAAAGTCAAAGTAGACACTGTTACTTGATCCATCTCTCAAGCATGTTTTCACGAAAGAGTTATGAGCATTCACCTTCCTCACTGAGCATGCAGTCACTGAGTACCACTTCTGTAAGAACCGTGTCTTTGTGGAAGGCCCTGGACAGCACTGTGCAGGTGTCCACAGACAAGCTCTGTCCACTCAGGTCAAGCTTGGAGCCATG